ATAAGAATATTGTTTATTGGTCCAGTGGTGAGGATTTTTGTTTTATTTACATTGAGATGCAATCCATAATGAAGGCTGTGCTCTTTGATCTTCATTAGTAAATGTTTATCCATCACAATTTTTAATAGCAAAATGATATCAATAATTCCTGCTCTCAACAGATCCTTCTGGCAACTCGTGAGAACTTATGCATAGTTAGCATGCAATTCTGAGTTTTTAAGGAGACCTGGTGAGGCACTAGTTTAAGCACTCAGCAGCTAATCAAAAGGTCTGAAATCACCAGCTACTCTGCAGAAGAAAGATGTGACAGTCTGCTTCCATAAAGTTTACAGCCTTGGAAGTCCTATTCTGTCCTATAGTGTTGCTACAAGTCCTAACAAACTCAACAACAACAAGTTTGATTTGAGATTTTAAAAGAGGCAAATACTAGATATCAGTACTTATACCAACAAGTGTATTTTAATCTAACTCCCAGCACTAGTGGATGACAGTGACTTCTACTATTTCTTTAAAATGCCCCATTGTGACACAGGGGACCAGTGTCATTACACCACAGTGCCACGTACTAGGGAAGGTCCTACTAACTTCCTGTCCACTACTAACCCCTTGTTTAAAAGGCTTACAGAGTAGGTGACAGCATCATGAGGCATAGTCTTTAAAGGCAGCTTAAGAATGTGCAGACTGTTGCATTTGCAAAAGAGAAGATTCTAGGTGACATGAGTAGTGTCTTTGACAAGCAGAAGAGTCTTAGAGGAAGAGTTCTGCTCTCCATGCCTGTTTAAAATAAAATACTTCAAGTTTCAAATGTTACCATGATAGAATGGAAAGAAAGAGTACTGGTGTTTGAACTCAGGCAGTTTTGGGTCTTAATTCTTACATTTGCTGTGTATCAATAGGAACGCTGCTTAACCTTGCTAAGCCTCAGCTTCCCTATTTATAAAATACAGGCTATGTGCTGTATTTGATGGGACAGAATGAAAAATTTTCATGTTATCAGAAAAAATAATAACAAAGTATTGAAATGGACTAAGGAGAGACTACATATGTCTTCTCTCCTGGAGTCCTTTTGAAAAAGAGCAGTCCACAAGGGCAGGACAGAAAAATAGCTGTCTGTCCTGGACAGTAAGGCATTCACCAGCCTTCAGGTAGACACAGGTCTTCTAGACAATTGAGGTGGTAGGATGTCCTCAGCACTTAAACTGAATGAAATGTCACAAATTCCTGATCAGCAGCAATGCCTTCAAGATATAATGCTCCTAATCTTGAAGTTAAAAGGGTAAACTCAGTTCCCAGAGCATCATTCTAATGCTGGTCAACACAGCCTACAGCATCCAACCTTCTGTCCTATGCCATGCCTCTTTACCTCCCATCTCAAGCTGTTGAGCCATGTTCCTGGGCAGGCAGTTTGTCCATGTCTGTATCTAAAATTGAATACTGCCTGGCAGCTTCCTTCACATCACTGAGGGTACCTTAACAGGGAGACCATCCCAAGCCAGTCTATAAAAGTGGCTTTCTCTCTTACTCTGTCTCATAACCTGATTTATTTTTCTTCTTGTTGTGTGCTATCAAGTCAGTGCGAACTCATAGCAATCCTGTATAGGGTTTCTGAGAGTGCCTGGTGAATTCGAATTGCCAGCCTTGCAGTTACCAGTCCAGTGCTTATTCTATAGCGCCACACCAGGGCTCATTTTTCTTCTTGTTGTTGTTGTTGTTATGTGCCGTGGAGTCGGTTCCGACTCATAGCGACCCTGCACAGGGTTTCCGAGGCTGTTAATCTTTACGGGAGCAGAACGCCTCATCTTTCTCCCGCAGAACCGCTGGTAGTTTCGAACTGCTGACCTTATGGTTCGCAGCCCGATTCGTAACCACTACGCTACCAGAGCTTAGCACTTATCAATAACTGACATACATATTTTAATAGTTATTCAATACAGATTACAAATGGTCGAAATACATCTAGATGGCTATTTCCAAAAATAGGTATCTACCAATAGAAAAGTACTTATTGAGAGCTCTTATTCAACCTTAGAAAAATTACCAGAAACTCTGAAGAAAAAGAACTCAAAATAGGAAAAAAGAAAAAGTGAACAATTTTCACAGTGTCAAGAAGAAATAAACAAATACTGGGTGCTCCTGGAGTTGTAAAGGGAAAGCAAGAGAAAGATAGATGCATATATAAATGAAGAACTGCAGTCTGTGGTATGAGCCCCTGGGGATAGAAAGCTCTGTCTAAAGCAGAAGTTCTTAACTTTTTGTTACAGACCTCTTAGAAAATCTGAAATAAATCTCTAGGATTCTCCCCCAGAAAAATGCACACCTATTCAATAGCATAAACTTTTGCTTGCACACAGTGTTGACAGGGATGGGCAACTTAGACATTGGCTATCCAAAATGAGGGAACTACAAAGGCATGAGTTCTGGTGTGGCACTGTGGGTTAATGAGCTAGACTGCAAAACCATTTGAACTGCAAGGTCGGCAGTTCAAGCTTACCAGCTGCTCCTCAGAAACCTTATACAGGGTCGCTATGGGTCGGAACAAACTCGACAGCACTTAACAACAACAACAACACAAAGGCATGAAGAGACTGGCTTACAAGCTTTCAAGAGGGAGCCTAGTTCCAGAGGGCGCAAGGGAAAGTAGAATCTCCACTGAGTGGTTTTCAACCTGTCTGGACAGGGCTGATGAAAGGAGCTGGGGATAAGACTCTTGTGGTTCAATAGTTATCAGGACTGTCTGTGAGTGTTGAAAATGTAAAGGTAGACGTTATGTAACAAAAGGAGGGGAGTAGTTGATCTTGCAGTCCAGGAGTGGAGGTCCCTGGGACCATCAAGGGAGAAGAGCAGAGTACGGGACTCTATCCAGAGAAGCAGCGACGCCAGAGATGGAGACAGAGATGATGACGTGGAGAGATGGAGTGGCTAGGGACTCTGGACTCTAGGAAAGAGAGGATCTGTGTGTTGACGGCCAGGGGGCAGGCTTGTGAGGTATACCTTTTGACTGTTTGATGATGCATGCAGGAAATTGTAATAATTGCAATGAAGTGCAGTAGGATAGGATAAATGTAAAGCTAATGTTCTCCCATGTAAACTATCACAAAATTCACAATAAAAACTTAAAAAAAAAATTGCTTATACATGTGCTCACAGAAATCTTTAACCCCACCCATGCACTACGAGCTAATAGTCTTAAATACCCTTGCTTGCTACACATGTGGTCTACTTGCAGTAACAGCCTATCGTGAATGTCCTATTCCAAAGAACCATCATCAGGACAGAGCTAGAGGCATCTTTATGAAAGGCTCACTTCTAGCTCTGAGCTCCTTACAACTAGACAAGTCCTCCATCAGTTCAAAGTGCAGAGTTCTGAAAAGAAGGCAAGAGGAAACAGCTCACAGGCACAGTGACACCTGGATCTGGAATAAGCTAGTGGGAAGGAGGGTCAAGGTGGTACATTTGAAGTAGAAAAGCAGGAATACATTCTACACTGGTTATATTTTGGAAATAAAGGCCTTTAATGTATTTTAAACAAAGGTTACTCAAAAAGGAAAGCTTTTGGCCTGCAGTTTATGCCTGAGTTCTAGTGTTACTCTATCACTAACCAGTTGTTTGACCTAGAGCATAGTACTCTATGTTGTCATCTGCAAACTGGGGATACAAGTGAATTTCACTTTAGTCAATAGATGTGGCCTTTAAAAATTCTGAGGTAAATAAAATCTGCATAAATCTAAATGTATTTTGAATATGGTTCTCTTGATGGTTGTTATGTGTCATTGAGTCAGTTTTGACTCATAGCAACTCTGTATAAGATTTCGGAGGCTGTAAATATTTATGGGAGCAGAAAGCTTCATCTTTCTCCTGTGGAGCAGCTGATGGATTTGAACTGCTGACCTGTGGTTAGCAGTTCAACATGTAACGCACTACAACAACTGGTGCCCCTTACAGTATGTAAGAATTTTATATTAAAAAACTCTTTGACAGTTCTTTTTTGTAAATGAATTGATCACAACTGATTTTTAGCATAAATTTGAGTTCTGATATAGAGTACCACATATTTCATGAATTAATTTTAATATATAAGACTAGATGGTTTATCAGAAAGTATTTGCAGAAAGGATACCAAAGGTAATCAAATTACATCTCTCTTGTTTAGCACTGTAACCTCTGATACTCTGAGTCATCCAATTATAAAGGAATATCCCCAAATCATTAAAAATAAGCATTAGATTAAGTGGTTATCACAAAGTTTATGTATAAGACACAGTATCACATTTGCTGATTCAATATTGTTTATATAAAATGAAGTTTCTGATTCAATAATCTTAGATAAAGCGGGTTCCCCAGCAATTTTGGTACTCTCATAAATTTTGTAGATAACACATTTAAATTTTATATATGAAGGGGGTCCTGCAGGATAATGCACTGGATTGAAAGGTCAGTTTGAACCAACTACTCCTTGGAAACCTTAGACAGGGTCGTTAATGAGTCAGAACCAACTCAATAGCACTTAATAACAACATGTGAAGGGGAATATTAGAAGGACTCAGAAAAAAGAAATGTCTGCCAGAAAAGCCCCACTGTTTATAAGGCCATTTACAACAAGGGCTAATAGTTCTACAAGCTTCAGCAATTTCTAAGGATTCCACCATCTACAGTAACAACCTAGGAGTTGCGGTAGCATAGTGAGTTACGAATTGGATTACAAATTGGGCAGTTCGAATCTACCAGCTGCTCTATAGAAGAAAGATGAAGTTTTCTGCTCACGTAAAGATTTACAGCTTTGAAAATCCTATACAGGCTTGCTATGAGTCAGAACTGACTCAAAGGCACACAACCACCACACAGTAACAACCTAACCAAAATGAAAATCTTAGGTCACCAAGAAAAGGTTCTATACTGTGCTCTATGAACTCTCTTTACTATATCAGGAATCATTTCATATGTTTTGGAAATATTTCCTAGGAGGAAAAATGTTTACAAAGTGTCTTCCCAGTTTATCTTACCTGTTCCTTCCAGAATCTCTAAATCCTTTAGCAAAAGGGTTTCGGTCAATTTTTAATCTGGTGATCTGGAAACAAACAAAAAAGTATGAATTATATTTATATTAATAAAGTCCCTATGTGATGCAAATGATATGTGCTTTGACCCCCACCCCACACACACACACACACTGTCACAGTGAAAGAAAAGTCTAGCGATCTGCTTCCTTAAAGATTACAGCTGAAAAAACTCAATAGAACAGTTTTAGTCTGTAATACATGGGGCCACCCTGAGTGGTGATAGATTCCACAACAGCTTGTTTGTTTGTGTGTTTGTTTTTTGTACATTCACATTACTGATTTTGTTTTCTGTTACTCCTAAAAAACATTCTGTTAATAATATTGTTGTTTTCATTTTGTTTCCTTTAGTTTGATATTTAAATTGAAGCTTGCTATGGAACTTAAAGTTGGCAGAACTTAAGTCTGGCCAACCTGACCCATGTCTCTCTAAACACCAAGGTTTGCCCAATAAGTGACTCCATAAACTCTCCTCAAAAACAACAACAACAACAAAGTCCACTGCCATTAATTTGATTCTGACTCATAGTTAACATTTAAGACAGGGTAGAACTGCTCGGTTAGGTTTCCGAGACTACACCTTTCAGGAGCAGATGCCTCAACTTTTTCCCTCAGAGCAGCTGTGGTTTTGAACTGCTGACCTTGTGGTTATCAGTCCAGCACTTAACCCACTGCATCACCAGCATTCCTTTCTTGCTTCAAGATGATGATAAAGTGCTTGCTTAACACTGAAATGAAAAACTTGGAAATGGGTTCCTGGCGTATGTTGTTGTTGTTCAGTGCCATCGAGTCAGTTCTGACCTATAGCAACTCTATGTAGAGGGTTTCCAAGGAGCGACTGGTGAGCTTGAACTACCAAACTTGCAGTTCAAACTGACTCTGCAGTCTAACTCATTAAACCACAGTGACACACCAGGACTCGTAGCATATAGGAGGTACTTAATATAACAAACATAATATCCCTGAAAATCGTTGAAAAGTGAAGATTGTTGAAATGGCAAATGTTTTCTTATCTATATATTTATAACCACAAAAAAATTTTTTTAACAATCTTTATAAAGCAGTTGAAAAAAATAGTGAATAAATAAATGCATCCTTATAGAATAAATGAATGGATAAGTAAATGTATGAATCAAAGAATAAATGAGCTCAGTCAATTCAATCAGTACCAAACTCTACGCAGAATTAGATCACCAGACAATCTGTCTCAACTTAAAAGATTCAATTAATATCCATTCCACTGGTTGTGCCTTCTCTACCACTAGGATTTGTTCTTTTAATAACTTAAAATGCTTACATAAAAGACGCAAAAAGTAGCTCGACTTTTCTAGAGTCTTGCCTAAAGGAACATCTATAAATGTGTAACTGGATGGGACAGGATTCAGTGCATCTTATCCAGGTGCCATGGTTTAAAAGAAACTCAGAAGAAACAAATAGGCAGCTTCATAAAACTGAGCAAGCCTCACCATCCAATTGTGTCATCTGGGCTGGGTGGATCCTTGGGGAACATCTGGTTTAACCTCTACTCAATGCACAAGTCCCACTCTATGGTATCCTATCTTTGTCCCATCAAACCCTGCCATAGTTGTGTACATTACACTCATGATTCTAGACTAAAACAAGCCTGACCAATAAATTCCATATGCATGCTAGTGTTTCCACTCTTAGCCTTGGTCATGGGAGGCATTTTGATACCTCTGTGTCTGAACCAGATGTTAATGACTCACTACTTGCAAGCAATCGAGATGGCAGGCAGGGAGAAGCACGGGGTGGTGGGGGGGTGGGGGAAGGAAGGCACACTTGTGCTTGTTCTTGATGGAATGTAATTCTAGAAATAAGGGACTCTCATTACTTAAGACTATCTTCATATTTCTCATCATTACAGAGCTTAACTTGAGGACAGCTAAAGTTGTTTCCTATATTACAAATCTTTCCAAGTCCTTCTTCTGTCTCACTTCCTCAGAGTGGAATTTCCCAAAGCCACAGTCTTTAAAGGTCTTTAAAATGCAATGTGAGATTCTGACAAACAGGCTCTGACTTAAAAGAACCATGCTGGCTTCAAGGTTATTTTTCTCCCTAAGCATTCCTTGCCTCCAGAATGGTACACTAATAATGTACCAAAAGCAATTTTACATCTATTTTATAGACCAGAGCAGGAACCTGAAGATTTGACTTTCTAAAGTCCAGTGTCTAGCCTATGAATACTGTATTGAGTTTAAGGAGTGTTACTGCTTTTCTGTTTTTGACGTAAATTCAGTGCTTTCTTCCTCCATAATCCACAGCAATAAACCACACACCATATTTTCTTTTCAAGTCAGGGTTATAATATTTTATTTTCTCTTTCAAGTTGGTTTATTCTGTCGGCCTCATTTATGATAGGGGTCTCTGATATATGATTGTGCTGTCGTGTTTTGGGGGCCTCCACAGACTGCTATAAATATAATGACATTCTAGTTCATGTGCTTGGGTGAAATGGTTGAAAACCTGTTTTTCACAGCTCACTGGATCTCAGGCCAAGGGGTCTTACATAGAAATTTAATGAAAAATGCCATCCAATGTAAAAAAAAAAAAAAAACCCGCACTTCCACACTTGCTTTAAAGCATCCAATGTGAGACTTACAGAGCTTTGTTGTACCACTCAGTATTTATTACATGCAAAGCAACATGACAGGTAACACAGGTGGCAGAGAGCTGTGTACAGTCAGTGCGTTGTTATTGTTAAGTGCCATCAAGTCAGCTCTGACCCATAGCGACCCTGTTAGGATCCTGTGGTTCAAACTGACTTTGAAGTCCAGCGCATGAACCAACAGCACCACACCAGGACTCATTACAGAGGTGTATATAATTAGTATTTCCCCTGTAGGAGCATATGGTCTAGAAGAAAAAATAGGAATATATACTAATAGTTACAATATACAGCAAAAAGTGGTATGAATCACAATAAAGACAAAATGACATGAAAGCCTAGAAAAAATAGCAATTACTCCATGGCATAGTGGTTATGAGTTGGGCTGCTAACCTCAAGGTTAGCAGTTCAAACCTACCAGCTGTTTCATGGGAGAAAGATGAAGCTTTCTGCTCCCGTAAAGATTTTGTTGTTGTTGTTGTTGTTGTTGTTGTTAAGTACCGTGGAGTCGGTTCCAACTCATAGTGACCCTGCACAGGGTTTCTGAGGCTGTTCTGAAACTCTAAGCAGGGTCACTATGAGTGGAAGCCAACTCCATGGCACATAATCAATCAACCAAGCAACCAAAGAACTCTTAGCCTTGGTCATGGTGTAGTGCTGCAGGATAAACCCTGGATGGCTAACTTCAAGACTGGTGGTTCAATCCCAGTCTCTTCGGAAACCCTATACAGGGTGGCTATGAGTTGGAACCTATGACACTTAACAACAACAACAAAAGAATCTGAAGTTTTATATTGGAAGGAGTTTGAGAGCATAGTCTTAGAGGATGTATAGGATTTTAATAGATAAAAATACAAGAAGGAGAGAAAGAAATAAGAGAAGTATTTCATAAAAAAAGATCCCATACAAGCCAGAGCATTAAAGTGAGAACAAATGAAGCATAGTCAGGAAACACTGAGGAGTTTTCCTAGAGCATAGGACATGGGAAGAGGAATAAGTAAGAAAGAAGCTTAGAGAGGCTGACTTGAGACCACATCAAGGCATTTAGATTATCTTATAGGCAAGGTAGGTGGTTCAAACCCACCAGCCGCTTCTCAGAAACCCTATACAGGGTCACTATGAAGTGGAACTGACTCAACAGCAATTAATAACAACTACAAATAGGCAGAAAAAGGAGCCCTAGTGGTTCCATGGTTGAGCATGCTCAACCAAAAGGTTGGCACTTAGTAGAACCCACCAGTGGTTCTGTGAGAAAAATACCTGGTAATCTGTTTCTATAAAGATTACAGCCTTGGAAACTCTATGGGGCAGTCCTATTCTGCCCTATATAAGGGCACTATGAGTTGACTGTGAGTTGGAATTCATTCTCACAACAACAATGTAGGCAAAAAGAGCAATTTTAGCTACTGTTGTTGTTGTTAAGTGCTGTCAAGTCAGTTTCCACTTGTAGTGAACTTGTATAGGGTTTCCAAGGAGTGACTAATTAATCTGAACCAAAGACCTTGCAGTTCAAATCAACTTTGTAGTCCAATATTTATCCTACAGCACCTCAGAAACCAAATTATGCTACTTAGCAGCCTGACACATAACCCACTATGCTACTGGGGCACCTACCTACATGGAGGTATGTTGTTGTTAGGTGCCTTAGAGTCAGTACCGACCCAGCTAACCACAAATAGAATTGGAAAGTTTACAGTCTCCCTTACTCTACCCCAAGAAAGGGTGAGAGAGAGCATTTTAAGAAAAATTAGTTCAGATATAAATGGAGAAGGATACATATATATGTTTATAGAGAGAAAGGGTGGTGAAAATGGGTAATGAGCTTGATTGCTAACTGGAAAATTGACAATTCAAGTCACCCAGAGGTGACTGTGAAGAAGGACCTGGTTATCTACTTTCAAACAGAATCAGTCATTGAAAATCTTATTGAGCACAGTTCTACTCTGACACACACGGAATCACCATGAATTGGAATCATCACAACAGCAACTGATATATACACAAGAGGGCTTCAAAAAGTCCATGGGAAAATGCTATTATCTTTTAATTCCATTTTTCCAAAATTTTTACGCCCTTTCATAGGTATACACACATATACAACACATTTGAATAGCTAATGTTCAACACTAGTCGATACTAGTGTTTAATGTTGTTGTTGTTAAGTGCCGGCTCCGAATCATAGCAACTCTGTGCAGGGTTTCCGAGGCTGTAAATCTTTACGGGAGCAGATGGCCTCATCTTTCTCCTGTGGAACTGCTGGTAGTTTCAAGTTATTCTCAAATATGGCTGCCTATCTCCACCCCAGACCCTTCTCAATACAGATCACCATATCTCTTGACTAAACTATTCTGAATGGCCTTCAGACTAATTTCTCTGCTTCCATTT